GAGCCAGCCCAGACTCCCGGCTGGCAGCAGCTCCCCAGAGCCAAGGACGGCTGCAGCCAGGAGGCTACAAACAGTGGTGTCGGGCTCCGGCATCAGCTCCGCACCAGCGCGTGGACCCGTGTGTCAGAGCAGGTGGTGAGGGAGGGGCCTGAGGCAGCGCAGCCCTGGTCTCTCCCCCAGTCCCGGCACAGAGGTGATGAGCCCGGCTCAGCTGTTTGTAGCCAGCCCGGGCTCTGGGCAGCTGCAGCAAGCAGCAGGCAGGCTACAAACAGCTGTGCCGGGCTCATCACCTCCGTGCCGGGAGCGGGGCAGAGACCAGGGCTGTGCTGCCTCAGGCCCCTCCTCTACTGCCCGCTCCGAGGCGTGCCTGCTTGCGCTGGTGTGGAGCTGATGCCGGAGTCCAGCACAGCTGTTTGAATCCTCCCGGCTGCAGCTGGCCCTGGCTCTGGGGAGCTGCTGCTGCCCGGCCGGAGCCCAAGCCGGGCCCAGCAAGCCATGCTGCAAGCCCTGCTGGGAGCAGCCCGGGCTCTGGCACTGGCAGCAGCTACCTGGAGCCGGGGCTGTCTGTGGCATGCCAAGCAAAATGGCCTTGCGTGCCACACTTGGCACGCGTGCCAGGGGTTGCCGACCCCTGACCTAGGTCCTCTCTCCATTTGGCAAGCACTGCTAACCCTTCTACTAGTTGAGGCAATAAGAGTGAGCCAGCAACTCATTTAAGCTGTTGGCATCTATCTGGTAAAAGGTCAGAGTTGCTTTGGACAAACATGGTCAGTCTATTAAACTTAACATCACATGCTTCATTCTGCAATAAAGTACTTTTTTTAAAGTACTGCAATAAAGTTCTTTTTTCCCAGTCCTAACCTTTTTTTTGCTCTCTGCCCAGGTACTATGTAATTGTGGTTATAAAATAGGGGACCTGCCTTTTCATTTCATAAAGGAAAGATATAGTATAAGTGAGATATACTTACTCAATTGAACCATCTGGTGGTTTAGGGAGCCTACATTGGAGGAAAAAACACAACTTATTTTAAAAGATTCATATTCTTTGAGCCTTTCCCCATTTTATCTAAATGAGCATACAGCAAACATCAGAGACCAATCAATATACAGTATGCCTAGATTATACTCTAACTGATGTCACTGTGTGTGTTAAAGTTCTCTACATAGCTATGTGCTAAAACATAAAAATCACCATGTACTAAATGAGGTATTTTAGAAGAAACTAAAAAAAATTAAAATATAATCACTCTTTTACACTTCCACCTAACCAGCCCTACATTAATAAGCCTCACTTCGTAGTACTTAAAACAGAATCTTTTTCTCAGTATTTTAAAAGAGAAAAGCAGAAAATGTATCATCCTGTTGACAGTAACAGTACATAAATTATACCATAAATCTAGCAATAAATTATTTACCTCCCATCACTGAGACTTGTTTTGTGTCTTAAAGACATTTTTAAAAAGTAAGAAGAAAAGACTAACTCTAGAGACCAATAATTTTATCAGTAAGACTAGCTAAGAATCTCTTGGCAATGCTGTCAGGCCAGAAAATGTCATAGATATGCTTTTAGTTTGCTTTCATGGTTATTTTTTGCAAAAAGAAAAAAGACAGTACTCAGGATTATAAATCTTATATACATTTATTTCATTCTCCTTTATCTTGCAATGAAATGGATAAAAGCATAACTATCTCCTGCATCATTTTTAAACTCTTGTTTATTATACTTAAAAGTATTTTTCTTGTATCTGAAAATATCTGAGTCAGATCTGGGTATATCAAGTTGTTTAAACTACTGGAAAAAAGACTTTTCCCTGTCTCACTGGATGTAAGACTCAATTTGGTTAAAATGTGGAAGAAAGGACAACCCTTGGAAGTAGACAGTACTACTAAAAGTATGATCTAATTTAGAGACAACATATGGATCATCCAGAGGCTTCAAACCCCAATGTGTGAGCGATACGGAGGGCAGAATCCTTTCCAATGCTAAGATCTTCCTTTATATACAGTTTATACTACAGCACTTCTAGAGCCCACACCAGGAGGAGATGCTAGGTGCTGTACAAACCTGCCTTAAATATATCTTAAAATCAGGTTCTTTTTTTTTTTTTTAAATCTATTATGGTTTTGATGGCATCTTTCAAATCAATTTTGTTTACATTCTGATGCAATGTGCAGGGAAATGTAAGCCCAATGACCAAATGTTCTACAACAACATATATGGGGTGTTGCAAAGTAAAACCACCGGATGTGATGTGAGCACTGTGCGATGCCACATCATACCACTTTTCATGACAAAGGAAATAATACTTCCACCAAAATGAATAAAGAGAACTGCTTTTCTTTTGCATGGGTGCATCTACACAAGACGCTTACTGAGCATAGGCTAATCTAATCTAATGTACAGTAAAGCATCACAGTCTAGACGTGTGTGGCAATTACTGAGCAGTAGATCAGTCCCATTCATGTTTTGGGGTGGGACATTTCTATAGTGCTCATCATTAGAATATCTGAACTTCAGGTAGTAACAAAACAGGAGCAAACTTGCACTTGCCAGGTTGGAATATACTTTATAGACACATTTAGGTCCTGAGTAAAAAAAGGCTAATAAAAATTCAAGAGCCATGTTTTCTGAAGTGTCCAATAGATTTCTGAATCTCAAGTTGAGTAACTAAATACTGCACACTCAAAGCTAGAAGAAACCTTAAAAATATGTAGTGATTAGCCTTTAAAAGGACAGGAAAAGAAATAATGCTTGGGTCAAATTTAGCTCTTGGGTATGTCGGTATTTTATTGGAGTTACTCCAGATTTATGTCGAAGTTCACCAGTATCACATCATATTTACACTGGTATAATTGAAGCATACTTTCACTCGATTACCATATGTTACACACTATAGTTTTTCAAGCTAACCAGTTCTATCATTTAATGGACTCTACAAAAAAACGAAGTGTAAATATGTATTCATGTTCACTTGATCAATATGGAACTATCAACATCTGAATATACTACATTCATTGGAGTTCATGAAGTTTATAATCAGCTTAAAATTTCTTTGAGATAGAATCTGGCTGTATTGAAAGGAGAGATTTATTTTAGTTAATGGTTAAATAAATTATTTCTCTTTTTTATATGTCACAAAGATGTAGAAACAGATCTTGTGTTTCAGATCTTACTGAACTATGTGCATGCCTTGAGACTCTTATGTGTCTCATGTGTTTGCACTGCCTTGTAGCATGGTGCAGAATGTGGGGATGACTTAGCTCAGACTTATTAATGGGGGATAAAGCTAAAAGGTGGCTTTGCACAATGGTTCTCTCCAACTTTCCTGCATGCTTTGAGCATGTTGTAAAAAGCTCTCACACACACACACACACACACACACACAATCCAGGATGGATGATATATACTGCCTGGTAGCCAGTTGCAGGATATCTGAAAGCTGGTTATACTATGCGGCTATAGAGGGAGGACCAGAGAGGATTGCAGTATGGAACACTTTCACCTAAGCTAGGGACAGAGGTTACAAATAAACCGGTTTAAGTGATCAGAAACTGGTTTAAACCTGTAACAGAACAGAAATTCCGTGCACATAAACTACTCTCAAAATGGCTGAAACTGGTTTAAGCCAAACCTGGTTGAATGCAGTATCAGATTTAACTGATTTAGGTCAAACCAATTTACAGAACTTCTGTCCCAGACCTCTTCCTGGTTTAAATTAACTCACAGTCCCCCAGCATCCCAAGATGCTTTGCAGCCCTAGGCTGTGTTGGGCTGGGGGAGCGGTGCTGGCTCCACCCCTCTCCTCCCTAGCCAGAGCAAACACTGCTACAGCTGGCTAAAAAGGGGGTAGTGGTGGGATGAGTGGCAGAGTGGGGTGCGTGGCCAGACCCCAGCCCCAGGCCTGAGGCAAAGTGGGGTGGGGAGGGAGGGACCGGGCTGGTGTTGTCGTGGGCAGAAGCAGAGGGGAGGCGAGCAGGGGGACACATGCCTCTGGAGGGATCCTGGCCCTACCCGCTCTGTGATGCAACAATGGGGAGAACACGGGGCATTCAGAAACGGGTGCCACACCCAGGGGCAGCCGATGACCGGCTTCTCCTCCCACTGGGCCCAGGCCCAGTGCAGGGTGGGTGTCCCTGGGAGAGGCAAAGGTGGTGGCACTGATCAGGATACAAGTGGGGATCCCCCTCCCCCAACTCCTGCTGCTGACTCTGCCTGAGTCACTCTCATACACCTCCAGGGAGCCATGGCTACCGTTGGGGAAGTTGCCAGTGCTTGCAGAGTTACTGGGTGCTGCAGTTGCCTGACCACAGTCTCCTCTTTCAGACCACCTGGTCTGGGTGGTCTGGCAGCTGGGCTCAGCACGGCCAGGAGCAGCAGCAATTACATGTCCCCCGGGAGGAGCCAGCCAGCCAGCCTCCATGGCACCTGAGCCAGTCTACACCTAGCCACCCGACAACTCTGCCACCGCTACAGGGCTGCCCCAGCCAGTGCCTGGAGCAGCCACGCAGGGCCCAGAGGCAGCAGCTAGGGCATTGCAATCAGGGAAGCGACCCTGGATGGGTCAGCCCTGCAATGGTGGTGGAGTTGCTGGATGGCCAGGTGCAGGCTAGTTCAGGTGCTGTGAGGGCCAGCTGGTTCTTCCTGGGGGACCTGTCGCTGCTGCTGCTCCTCATTGCACTGAGCCCCGCTGCTGCTCACAGTGACTGGCCTGGCTTCCGGGCCACCCAGGTCAGGTGGTATAAAAGAGGAGGCTGTGATCAGGCAGCTGCAGTGCCTGGTAACTCTGTGGGCGAGTGCCGGCAATTTCCCAGTGGCGGCTGAAGCTCCCCAGAAGTGGGTGAGAGTGACTCAGGTGGAGCTGGTGGTGGGGGTTGGAGGAGGGAAGTCCTGACTTGTTACCTGATTGGTGCCACTGCCATCCCCACCCCCACGGACACCCGCCCTACACCAGGTCTGGGCCCGCGCATGGCCTTGGCAGGAGAAGCTGGTCAGCAGGTGCCCCTGGGCCCAGCACCCGCTTCTAAACACTGTGTTCTCCCCATTGTTGCATCACAGAGATCAGGCAGCCACTGCCCCCATGCCAGCTACCCTCAAAGAGACAGCGGCTCGGTGGCAAGGAGTCCCTGCCTCCTCCCTGTGTGTCCAGGGTGTGGGTCTGGTTCCTCTCACTCCCTCCAGCCCCTTAAAATACACAAGGGGGGCTTGAGGGGAAGGGCCCCAACCCCTGCTTATGGCTCTGGGAAGCCCATGGGGAAGGGAAGGCAGAGAGCAGGGGCTGTGCAGCACTGGGCTCTGCTTCACTTCATGGGGGGTGGGGGGGTGGGAGTTGTGTGTGTGATCCTCAGCTTTGTGCAGTCCCTCACGCGTATTCCAGTGAGGAGGTGACTGTCCTAGCTGGGAAACAGGTTCTGGGCCTTTCCTACTCTTCTTTCTACAGTAGAATGGGGGCCTGAAACACTTCACTCTTGGCAGAGCAGCACAGGGGGTCTCTCTCTGGATCAGGTCACAGAATCCTACAGGAGTGGGGCTGGGAGGGACCTTCAGGGGTCACATCTAGCCCAGCCTCAGCCTGAGGCAAAAGCATCCTTGTCCAGACCATCCTGTACATGCCAATACAAAGCTCCCCTGCTTCAGCTGCTTGAGTTGCAAGCAGGGTGGGGAAAACCCAGGCAGATCCTGTAGGCCAGGGTAGGGGATTAAATCCCTCCCCAGTCATACTCAGCCTACTGGAGCCTAGCCACCCTCCCCCCGCTCAACTTCTACTTAGCCTGCTGGCCATTGCGGAATGGAAGGGAGGGCTTGCTTTAGCACCCCCAGCCTCTAGCCTGAGCCACTGCAGGCATGTGCCTGCATTTCCAGAATCAAAAGTGAATATCTATTCACTTGTTTCTCAGTTCAATCAACGCAGGTTAGACTAACCTGCAAAGATTGAATTGATTCAGACTTGGGCTTTTTGAATGTCTGTACCTAGCCCTAGTGGGCATAGGACCATTACTTTCCCAAATTATAATCTCACAAGGTCTAAAGGCAATCCTTGCTTAACGCTGTTTCACTTAGCATTATTTTGCTATAATACTCATTTGAAACCGATACCTGATTTCAATTAGCGCTCAGTGAGTTTCGTTAGAACGCCTGAGGTCGCCATCTTGGGTCATCAAATACTTTCGGTTTCGCTTAACGCTCAGTTTTTTAGGAATCAATTAAGAGCGCTAAGCAGGGATTGCCTGTATTTCAATTTTTGTGGCTTCAGCCCTGCACAGTGTCCTTGATGGCTCCTTAGATTGGTAAGGTGACTATGGGCTTTTGGTGGTATATCAAAGCCCAAATTACCTTGTTTTCCTTTGAATGTTTCTAACTGGATAGGAAAACATGGCCTAGTTAATGCATTTTGAAAGGCACTTCTTCTAGAAGCAAGACAAATCATTTTCATGCAAAACAATGTAAGGATCTACAGTGTGTGGAGCTCTGACAAAGGTACAGTAATTCCATGATGGTATATGTAGTTCCTGCAAACTTGCAGTAATTCATTTTCCACAACAGTGTAATGGCACAAAGGAGCCATTGCCAGCTATAGTATCTATAAATCAAGCATTAACCACCCCCAAGAAAATACCAAGAGCAATGTTCAGTCAGTATTTTTTCAATAAAGATTTCCTAAGGTTATCACCATTTTAATTTGTTAGAGTAGTTAGACTACTGTAGGTCACACAAGATATTTTGCTCATAAAGACATTTGACTATGAACCCACAAAATCTGAAACAGGAAATAATTTAAGTGAACTGTTTCTCTACAACTGTTCAAGGATAGAATATAAGGAAATACAATTTTACAGAAAAACTACTGGAATATTAGAGAGATCAAATATTTAAAAGATCACATACGTATTAAAAATAGGTTACATTTTAATTTTCAAAATAATGGACAAAATGTATAAACATGCTGTCAGTAAAATATTCAGTCTATTGATAAATTACTGGATTATGCCAATCTTAAATTGTGCATCATTTTATACTGCATGTTAAGGGCCAAATTCTTGTCGCAGTAATAAGCCCCAAGCAAATGTGTTTGGCAGGGATACATACAAATCTTGTGGGAAAAGATTCATCCCTGTGACCTGGAGTCACAATCCACAACAACTGCACAGGCCAGTATCTCTAGCTTCATTAGATTAAATACTAATTCTCTCATTTAAAAAAAAGCAAATTCTCTGATTAAAACGCCTAAAATTTGCATTTTTTCACAATTAAAATGAAACACCACTATATATAAAGGTATCAGTTGAATACAATGTTTTATTGATATATTTACAATTTTAAAGCAATTTGGAAGCCTACCAGTACCACAATTACTATAATAAAATACATTCTAAATACCTATACATTTTGGCATTTCATTTGGGGTTTTTTATCATGGAAAATCAGAGCTCCCTCTGCCCCCTTCGTTCACCAGGACATGGGTCCAGCTGTGACTGTCCCCTCCCTGCTGCCACTGTTTTGTGGTGCTCAACAGCCCTGATATGCCAGTACCCTGTCCATGCCATTTCCCCTCATTCCCAAGCCACGGCCCCTCAAAGCCTGCTGGTGCCCCTCACTCCCCACCCATAGCCTCTTGGCTGCTGCACGCCCATGGGAGTGTGGAGCCCTTTTATCCCTAAGGGAGGCCAAGATACATTGGCTCCCCCTCCCGTGTGGGCAGCACGGCTCGAGTGGAGCACATAAGGGGGTGGATGCAGGCTCAGGGCTCTCTGCCCTGCTGCCCTCCCCCTGGGGTCTTCACGTAGGTAGCATGCAGGTAGCCTGCATCCGCTCCTGTTCTATGCACAAATCTGGGGGGTCATGTGCCCCCCACAACCCCCAGGAGTGCACGCAGCAGTGGAGAGCCACCCCCCACCCGCCGCCCCCCAGACAAGCAGCAGTTCTGTCCCACTGGCCACCTGGGCCCTGCAGCTATGCAGTCCCAACCTGGGCCTCGAGGCCCACGTAGCATCCCAGCTGGTCAGCAAGCCTAGCCCCAGCCAGCCCTGCCCAACTCCCTCCCTCACTATGGGGACCTCAATTTCCTTCTCCCCTGCCCTGGCCCTCCCCCTCCCCCAGTTCCACCCCTGACTTTCCTGCAGGGAGCTGTTCTCATGTTGCCTGGTTGCCATGTACATTTGTGTACATGTGCATGAAGCCCCCTGCCACTCTCCCCCCGCCCCTTGCAGGCTGGAACTCAGCCAGCCTACAAGGGTAAACCTACCATTTTCCATGCTTTTCTCCATAAAATGAGAAAATCTGGGTTTTTCTCCTTAAAATAAGAAAATCTGCATTTTACTGCATTTTTCCATAGTGAACAGAAATCCTGGATCCCTGCTAATGATGTAGTCAAGTAAATAGAGGCTTTGACCATTGCACTATTTTAACTAGCCCTCTCCTCTTAACATCAAATCCTTATTCCACCAAAGGCAGAACGACAGAGCAGGAGTGACTGGTGCTTCCTGAATCTGTGGGGGGCACCCGCAGAAGCCGCTGACCCTGTCAGGGGGGGCACCAGCCCTATCAACAGCATCAGTGCTGGCTGTCGGGGGGGCACGTGCACCCCTGTGCACCCCTACCAGTTGTCTATGCTACAGAGTGCAGAGCTGCATTTTCTCCTTGAGAAGCTTCCCTGTGGCCTGTCTGCAAATCGCACAGTAGAATTATGGTGGCGTTGCTATTTTTCCCAGGCTTTGTGGACTCATGCAAAATGGGGAGGAGGATCTCATAGTTTGCAGTACTGGTAGTTACTGCACATGAGGTGCTAGAAGTGAGACTAGTGTCACAAAATGTCCCCACATGGTCATACAGATAGCAGCTGATGAAGTAAGTTGTTGTTTACAAAATCTTATGCATCTCTGATTTGTTTAGTAAGTCTATAATGGCAAGTACCCTGCCTTCTGCGTACAAAAATAACCAGCAAAAGTTAATATAACCTTATCCACACATCTCCAACATTTATGTATCTAGGCATACACAGGATGTGCAGCATGGATAAGTTAAAGTTACCATGAAAATGTTATTTTGTTTATTTCTTGACTTGAGTACTTAAATTCATAAACTTTAATGTAATCAGAACTCACAGTATAGAGGTGATCTCTTTTATTAGACCAACTAGATTTTGGCAAAAAAAAAAATTCTTTAATTGCAAACATTTGGGCACAAGCACCCTTCTTTGGGCATAGGAGAAAAGAATGTAAACGTTCTCCCGGGTAGAAATGAAAGTTCATATTTCAAAGAAGAGTTAAAGGTGTAGTAAAATCTCCTGTTTGCACAGTTCATTTTATGCAGGTTAGGCTCAGAGAAAAGTTGGAATAGTCTGTTGATCTCAAAGCTGTTTGGTGGCAAACAGGATGTAGTCATATTTCCTTCTCTGTGAAATATGAAACATCATAACCAGAAGGAAATATGATTGCATCTTGTTTGCCACCAAACAGCTTTGACGGCAACAGACTATTCCAACTTTTCTCTGAGCCTAACCTGAATAAAATGAACTATGCCAAACAGGAGATTTTACTACACCTTTAACTCTCCTGAAATATGAACTTTCATTTCTGCCTGGGAGAACATTTACATTCTTTTCTCCTATGCCCAAAGAAGGGTGCTTGTGCCCAAAAGTTTGCAATTAAAGAAATTTTTTTGCCAAAATCTAGTTGGTCTAATAAAAGAGATCACCTCTATACTGTGAGGTCTGATTCCTTTTGCCTCTAGACCAATACAGCTACAGCCTGGATACCTAAACTTTGTTACATTAACCTCAAACTTTATTTTTGAACTACAAGTCGTAATGCTTTATTGGTGCCATCTTGTGGTAAAACTGTGTATTGCAACTTTTAATTAAATAATATCCAGGTTCAGTTCAACTAGCTACTCTTAAATAGAAATAATGAAGTAAACAACATTCTACCTAAAAATACGATAGAAAACATTTATCGGATGCATACTTGATATCAGAATTACTTTAGTGTTATTTATTAAATCTGGACTCTGGCCAAGAGATAAGAGAATACATCTGAATGTCACAAGTTGTGACACATTGACAAATCTGTAAAACCAACTTAAGTCCATGGTTCAAGAGATAATAAACTGAGTGGGAGACTAATGCCACATTTTGAGCTTCCTTTCATATTCTCTTTGCTTCTTTAGTTCCTGGCCAAGAGCATTTTATACAAGGCATCTATTTGTATTTTGCCCTTAACATCTGTCTTTAATATCTTTAAAGGCAGAATTGCTATTCAGCTTGTCATTATTCACAAGATATGCACAAAATAAATCAGAACTTACAGATCATCATTCATGAAGACGTTACTTTTTTTCCACTGGATTGTATCATAACTCTGCTCAATGGGAAGACCTCTGTAAAAAGAGGGAAACAAAACCATAAACACACATATTTCAAGATGGTTGTAAAAAGTTAGGAAATACATGCAGAGTATTTTTTGCATGAAAAAGTAGCTCTTATCACAAAAAATAATAGCTACAAGAAATGGAAATATTTTACTGTCAAGCAGTAAGCAGATACTTATGAACAAAATTATCTAATAAATATCAAAATGATTTTCTGAATGGCAGAATCTCTCACACTAAAATCAGTGGGAACTATGCATGTTTAGAATCTCTGATCCATACCACTAAAAGTCAAAGGAAACTCTAGAAATGACTTCAATAGATACAGGATGAAGCACTTGTAGCATGATCCTATTAGTGAGTGAATATTTCCTACAATACTGAACCCCCTCGGCTTCCTTCTGATATCAAGAGGCCAGGGAGGATCAGACCCTTACTGGGTTGAAGGATGCCATTTTCTTTAGTGGTTCTTATCACTGAACAGAAACCTCACCTTTGAGTGTGAAAACAGCATCTTATCTGTCTTCCACCTTACCTGATGGAAGAGATATATGTTGCTTAGTTATCAGCAGCTAAGACAGGGGAAGGCAGGGAAAGGGAGAGTGAGAGGGACCACAACACTGAAGAAAATAGAGGTGGAATAACTTGTTTTAACTGGTAACTTAATCTCTGGAATGAGGAACAGTCTCATAGTTCCTGACCTCTGCCTGAAGAGGCTGTGCTTATCACAGAGATTAGTTAGAGAATTTTTCAGTATCAGAAAGGTGTGGCTATAACTGCATGGTAATAGTGGAGACATGGACCGGAAGAAGAGAGAGAAAGATCTTGGGCCAGAGTGACAAGGCACATGTCTGTATACTCTGCTTGGCTCAAGGTAGCTTTTAGGGCATGTGAAGGTTCTGTAGTAGTCTGACAATGGCATTCAGCCAACTGTTTGCATACACTGTCTTAAAGCTAGTTAACTGTCTTGCCTCTTTTCATTTTTGAGCCAGTGCTGATACCATGCCTGCTTTCTCATATCCCTCTGACACCTTTTATCCCTAAGGGAGACCAAGATACATGGTCTCTTTAGACAAAGCCAAGGGTGCTCAACCTCTCTGGCCCCACGAGCTGGATCCACCATGAGGGATTGGTCTTCAAGCCAGATCCAGCATCAGGGCAGAGTGTAGGGGGCAGTCCATGGGTGCAATCTGGTGTGAACCTGCACAGTGGACCTGGCTACAGTTATGACCCCACGCATCAGATCCAGCCATGGAGTAAATGGACTGAGGAAGCATGGAGCTGCATCATCTGGACTGTGGAGATCCTCATAGGTCAGAAAAATCTGGCAGTGGGGAAGTGGTGGCAGTGTCGATTGCCATGGCTCTGGAAGCAATTAACACTGCTACTACTCCTCTGCCCCAAAATTTCCCAGACACATGGGGAGCCCTGCAGGTCAGCCCCACAGTGCTGAAGGTTCAATGCCATCCAACGAACTACCTCACAGTGAAAACTTTATGGAATGTAGATATTTGCACTGTCGTCCCACGTGACATCCTGCAGGTCATCTCTGAAAACTCCAAGTTCCAGTTATTGTTCAGAAGCACAAGGGCCTCAAATATGGCTCTCAATGAGGACACCATATACTAAATATATCTGTGACGTGAATGATCTCTTCAAGTTAACAGTAAAAACATGCTGACCTGGAGGCTTTCCATTTTTGCTGTATTTACTTCTAAAAGATTATAGTTACAATAATGCAACTTTAGATAACTGGTAAGATATGGATCAGTACCGATAAAGCATTGTATTTGGAATCCGGATAGACGTTAGTCCAGTGCATCTGCATTAATACAATACTTGGAAGGCAAAAGTATTGTTGCTCCCTGTATCTACAATCACTTTTAGGTCAATGCACAACTGAGCATCTTTAACTGAAGACTGCCCAGCACCAAGCTGATAAACAGTTGTAAATATACAGTGCACTTCTGAACAGGGGCCTTTCCAGTATTTTTAATACATACTGGCATCTGCTGGTGAAAGCTTAGTATTACTTTAGTTCTTTTTCACATAATACCAACTCTGCCAATCCCTAGTCTGATGATTTAAAATTTCCTTATATTCCAGTTTATGTAAATTGGATGAGAGATATCCACTCGGAATGTTTGAGTCAGCAATAAGTAATACAGATAAGTGCTGAAAAAAAAATCTGCTTTTCTTCATGAATTTTCCACTGAGATGTTATAAAGATAGAACAATATTAAACATATTCTAACAGCAACTGGTTATAACCACAGAGTTTTGAACTGAGGTACTTGAACTATTCACTCTAACTCCACATCATCATGTCAAAAATATTTACAGAAAACATCAATACAGATGTCCTAAAATAGATGGTTCTGAAAAAATATATTTACAAAGAATATATCGAACCCTGTCCAGCACAAACATGAGATTTATTTTATTCAAGTTTAACCTGGTTTGATCTCCAATTGTCCAAACATGCTGTATTCTATTAGCCAATACTGGGTAAAACAACACTTTAAAATTCCAACATTTAATGCATGTCACCAACTGACCCTAGCCAGAGATCCCCACCATACCCATAATGTTGATGTCCTTTAGTAAACATACAAGAAGTCTCATTCTTTAGCTTGTGATCTTCTGGCAATGAAACTGGAACAATTTCTCCATATTCTCTTTCTGCTCCCCAGGGAAGCCTGCACCATTGAAATTCATTCCTGAACTTCTCATACCTGAAACAAAAAAAATCCACAACCCATTCTTAAATCACAGCAACAATTACAGTGACTTGAATATCTTTAGAGATACCTTAGATTGGAATTTTTTTTTTATTCTATTGGTGGTAGGTTACTCCATTTTTTGACTGATCATAAACAAATCAATGGGAGTTCATTGATTGTTCATTGATTTCAACAGCAGCAGAATCAAATAAAGCATGCTTTAATCAACTGGAGGAAAAAAGAAGTTGAATATAGATCAAAATATGCTACTTGTTTAACTGCACTTGCATAATCTCCATTATTAAAGCAGAGATGAACACGTTGTCCTCTAGTTGATATACAAAATTGGACCATGACTTGGTTTCCCCAATTTATGGTTTCCCCTTCTCTTCACTGAACACACTAATAAAAAATACTTTTAAAACTGAGGCAGTGAGCAAGACTGGTAAGTACTAGCCCTGGAAGGAGAAGCTTCAAGATTGCTCCCAAACTCAAAAACCATAGGTTATACTGCTGTGCTCTCATTTAGTTTGTTAAGACAGAGGCAGTAAGGTCTAGCTGGAAAGGGAGGATCCAGGGCTATTCTGTCCCCAAGACCTGTCTTTGATTCAAAAGGTCTGATTCTTCCCTCAACTTCAGTCAGGTTTATAGTGCAAACTTTTGCTGGCATAAGTAGATTGATCACAGGCAGAAGGCAGGACAGGGTGGCACCTTAGGGGCTTGGCACAGGTTACCTTAAAACCAACATAAAGGCTATTAAAAACAAGAGCAGTCATTAGTTAAAGGGTGCTAAGCTGCCATACGTTCCCTCTAAACATTTCAAAGTTAAACCTCGGCTGGCATGACATAACTTTGATTTGTTTTGCCTAGATTCCAGGGTATTGTATGAATGGTGTAGGAAAACAAAATGCCTCACTTTGATTCCTCCAGCATCCCAGGATACATAGCTCTCAACCGCTTCCCACCCTCCAAATCTCTAATGGGGTCCCCACATGTGCCCCCTTGGCTCCAGGCTGAGAATAACTCTCTGAGTGTGTAATTGCAGAGAGACCATGGAGGGAAGGGGAAGCACGCTTCTCCCAGCCCATGTCTCAGTTAATTGAGCACTGGATACTCTGGGCTGAGCATGGAGCACCCAGACAAGGAGACCAAGCAAGCTTCTCATGGCTGTATGGTCTCCATCTTAGAAGCATAGGGAGATCTATAAGCTAACCTGTCTAGGCATTTTTATTCTTCCTTCCACACCCCTACCCTTCCATGTATCTTGCATCTTATATAAGACAGTTCCTAGGCACACGAACCTAACCTCTAAAGTCACCAGGAAGAGAAACAACACAATTTAATGTTCACTTCAGAACTAGTAGTTTGAGAGCATTGGTACATACCATTCTGACTGCTCCACTGGGTTAATTTGTGCTGCTTTAACACACATTCCAAATTTTAAATTGAATTCCTCTAACAACTGCATTAAGTGGACTGGTGTGTGGATTGTTATACCACATACATCATAGAATTATCAATTCACTACAAGCAAAAATACCAGGTTTGTACAAGTCCTAGCATCCACCTGCCAAAGACTCTTTTATAAAAAAAACCTGGGGGATTGTGGGCTGGCAGAGTCCATGGTCAGGTGCGTTGGGAACTGGCTAAGAGATCGAACCCAGAGAGTGTTAGTAGATGGGTCTGTATCATCCCAGTGGGAGGTGGCCAGTGGTGTCCTGCAGGGTTTGATTCTTGGCCTTGTGCTGTTCAACATCTTTATTAACGATTTAGATGAGGCTGTGGAAAGCATGCTGGCTAAGTTTACAGACAATACTAAGTTATGGGGGAAAGCGATCATGCTAGGGGATAGGATGTAGATCCAAGAGGACCTGGACAAGTTGGAAAAGGTGGAAGGTTCAATAAGGATAAACGCAGTGTGCTTCACCTGGGGAGAAGTAACCAGTGACATGAATACAGGTTAGGAGAAGATGTCCTGGCCAGCGCAATGTCTGAAAGGGACCTCAGGGTTATGGTTGATCACAGGATGAACATGAGCGGCCAACGTGATGCTGTAGTCAACAGAGCTAATAGCATACTGGGGTGCATTAGCTGATGCATCGCAAGCAAGACTAAGAAAGTGATACTTCCTTTCTACTCAGCGCTGGTGAGACCCCAGCTACAGTACTGTGTCCAGCTCTGGGTGCCACACTTCAAAAAAGATGTGGAGAATCTTGAAAAGGTCCAGAGAAGGGCCACAAGAATGATAGGGGCCTGGAGGACAAACCTTATGAAGAAAGACTAATCTGGGACTGGTAGACTAATCTGGATCTGGGACTGTTCAACCTGAGGAAGAGAAGAGTGAGGGGGGGACTCGGTGGCTGTCTACATATATGTAAGGGGTGAATATTGGGAGCTGGGAGCAAAAAAACTGTTCACTAGGGCAACAGGGGAAGACAAGGAGCAATGGCCATAACTGTTAGAGGATGACTTCAGGTTGGAAGGAAGACCTTCTTTACAGTAAGGGTGACCAGAATCTGGAATACACTTCCCAAAGAGGTGGTGCAGTCCTCAACCTTGGAAGTCTTCAAGAGGAGACTGAACAGGCATCTTGCTGGGATAATTTGATCTCAGCAGTATTCCTGCCCAGAGCAGGGGAGTTAGACTCAATGATCTTTTGAGGTCCCTTCCAGCCCTTAATTTCTATGATTTCTAAGACACTGCAGCATTAACAGAGATCAAGGAATTTAATACTGACAGAAACACAAGCTTTAAGAGTTCCTTAAATAGTGTGATCTCTCCATATACTAAGCAATGCTAAAATCTACAGGTACAAAAAGTAAGGCTTGTTTAGATTCACCATGAGACTCTAAGCAGAAACCCATTTGAACCCTTTAATATAGGAAGAGTACATAAAAGTTAAATGTGTGCATTCTTCCTCCAAAGATGGTTAACTTACAGTTTCAATGAATTCACTGCAACAAGAGCAGATTTCTTAAGACACGCAGCAAGCCAGGCTATTAGACCAAATGCATTAAAAAACAAAAGTTAATGCTAGCTTATGAATAAACTAATGATTTATTGAAATTAGGAGACATCTCTCTCTACCATGGCATCTACCAAGTTATTTTATATACGAGTCTTTTGCAGCACATTTATTCTAGATTTAATTTTTTTTTTTTTTTTTATACAGGATCAAAAAGCACATCATATGTAGGCATCTACCCAACTTAAGGAGGTGGCTGGCCAATTCTACAGGCAGGTCATGGGGCTGGTTGACATTTCTGAGGGCTTATTGTGGCTGCCTCCCCAACCCTGATGCCTCTGATTGGCTGAGGGGTCCTGGTGGCCCTGCTCCCCACCACTAATTGATGGAGAGGGCTGTCCATTGTATGGCCCTGCCCCTTGGAGAGGGGTGGAGCCAGAGGACATACAGCCCTCTCAGCCAATCACTGGTGAGGGGTGGGGTTGGCAGCCATCTTGTCAGATCACCCTCGTGTTGGCAGCCCTCCATCTTCCCTTCCTCCAGGTGGGCTGCGCAGCCTGGAGGACTG